TTATTTAGTGAATGCATGAGTAGGTTTACAAAAATGTTTTCAACAATGCATGTATGGGTCAATCCTTATAAAATAAATTTTGTGATTTCAAACAAACAATCAGCTCATTCACATTGTTGCTTACTGTACAATGTAAGTCAAAGAATTATGAGATCTTTCTAATCTAGACAAATGGTCAGAAAGTACAGAGACCTAGGTCTGTAGAACTGTCAAAGTTCTACATTTCTTCATCAGGCATTCTGATATAGTGTGGCAAAAAAATGAAAATTATGCGGCATTTTAACATCACATTATGCGGCACAAATGTTCAATTATGCGGCAAAAATTCCCAATTATGCGGTAAATTGCACAATATTGCAAAATCTTTTTCTCAAGTTTATTTTAATTTTCTGTCACATAAAAACATCTCATTTACAATTCTATGGCTTTTAGTGTTTATCTAATTTAAAACAACAGACTAATGACTTTTTATTGCTTCAAGTTGTAATTTCGGTCCTTGGGATCGCTAAACTGCAATGTGAAAAAAAAGTCACTGCAATTTTTTTTCGGCCTGGACACGGTAGGCGTGTTTTAGTATAAGAGTAATTTACACATTTTCATGTCAATATTATCATATTATGCAAAATGTTCTCTTATCACATACTCGAATAGCGGCATCGAATATGAGAACTGAAGATCACGGGTTTGATTCTCGCCTTGAGCAGCTTCTGGACACATCTTTTTTTTTTCTACATTTTTTAGCTTTTATTAAAATATTCAGAAGAAATATTGCAAAAAGATTATCACGATGCTAAGAAAAGGATCTCCGCACTAGCACAGTTCCCAGACTCTGCTGTCGAGCAAGTAACGCCTTGTTAGTTGTAGATAAATGACGAAATCATATTAAAGACATGTTTGTTTTGATCGAATATTGGATGGTTTTTCAAATATTTTCCACTCAAAAAAGGTTTGTATGGATCAATTCTAAAATGAAATAGACAGAACTTAATTTATTTTTAATGGGAATCATGTTTTTGTTTCGAAAACTATGCAATTTCTGACTAATTATGTGATTTTTATCTATTATGCGAAAAAATGCGATTTTTAGGTAATTACATGTATCCGAAATCACATCATCGCACTATATCAGAATGCCTGCTTCATAGAGTAGACCAAGCAAGTTTGGTTAATGATAGTAAATATATCATGGTAAAGTCAACAATAATACTGAACATCAAATTTTCAGACATCCTTTATTACCTTTGTGTTCAATTTCTTGGTCATTTTGAATTCTGTCTGAAGGTTTTAACCAAACAGAACTATTAATATTTGTTTTTTTCCATGATTTTTGCCACTAGAAATAGTATCAAGTTGAATTAATCAGTATTATTGAAAAGGAATAAAAGGGATCATTATTACAACCAATAGATTASTTTCATTTACTCTCATTCAGCTTCAATATTCATGGTAATATTAATGGTAAAGTTAATTAATGTACTTTTATTACAGCTCAGGATATTAAAGAGACCAGATTCTGGGAATTTCAACTCAGGCCAATCAGCACAAGAAAAAAATGAAGGTCCTATCAGAAAGTCTCTTGCAGAAAGACAAGCAGAATATGCAGAAGCAAGGTTTGTATTATAGCACTAATTGATTGATGTGCCTTCCGATAGAAGGTTGTCATCTGGACGTAATGTACAGGGCTGATTTCTTATCACTGTGCAACAGCACATAACATAGCATGGACATTCCAATAAAAAAAATTAACATGAATTCAAGAATAAATCACTTTCATGACACAGTCTTGGCATTTTTTTTATTATTTTTGCATATTCATCTAAAGGATTGGGACACAGTTGTTAGTTGTTGCATGTAGTTGCTAGTTTTTGGTAATATACAATATGAGCGGGTGATATGTATGAGGATCTAAAACTGACAGCAAGCTGAAAGCTCGCTGTTTTAAATCCTCATACAGATGGCACATGAATATTGTATACCTATGGAATGTTGAGTTAAACTTGCTCAGATTTTAAAGAAACTTTTGAAAAAAAATCAATCGAACCGATAAAATTGGAGTTAAAGTTTATGCAAAGGAATAAGAATCTGTAAGTGGATTTAAACCTCTCTTCATGGCCGGTTTATGATTTCTATTGCAGGCATATGGAGCCAGTCCGCGCCATTGTGCCATTCCTGCTTTTAWATCGCATTTGTCGCATTCAAAATTATAAAAGGGGTCAGATTGTCCCCTTCTCCAGGAAGCCAAATAAAAAAACTGCATTATTAAGACAATTTTGTGTCTAAAAGTAGCCCTGTAAAATACACAATATAATCAACAAAGCTTTGAGTTCATCTGCCATTTTTGTAGTTATGGAACAGAGGTCTGGAACGAGACAAAAAAGGACTGGGTCGAGTCAAATGAGAACTGAGACGCCATTTTCAGGCTTTTTTACAAGATTTAGCACAGGTAGCCCAAAGCTATACATTTTAACCATTTTTTAGTAATTTTGCAAAATATGTTAAGTTAAGTTAACATATTTTGCAAAATTACTAAAAACAGTTAAAATGTATAGCTTGGGCTACCTGTGGATTTAGATGTCACGAAAGAGAATATGGCCTACATATTATTAAAATATCAATTTAATGGACAAAACCAGAGTTCCAAAACTTATTTAATTTAACTCTATTTATTGGTAAAATATAAATTGATCTTCCTATTCTCGGTTTGCACTGATCACGTGATATTCTAAAAATGCTATTTAGAGGCACAATTAGCGGAATATTATTATTGTTCTCAAGAGAACATCTATATTAAAGGATCACTACGAAAGTTCGAGCAAAAATAATGCTTTTTAACAGAAATACGAGCGATCGAAAATTGGTAAGAATGTATAGGATTATCACGGCTCAATGTGTTTTAGACTAGTCAGGAAATACCTAAAAAAATCTTTGTTTTTAAAAGATCGAAATGAATATTTTATATCCAAGGCCAAGAACARCATATAAWTYCCARCAKTTATGCAAAGTTTGAAGTCAAACTGAAATTTTGTAGCAAAAATATAAGCGTTTGAATACTGTCTTACTTTACAAGGGAATGTATGGAAAGCCGTGACAGTGTACTAATCCAGTACACGAACATGGCGGACAGTAACTCCGAGCGTCGAATTGAGGTCAAAACTAATGATTTTGCTTTAGTTTTACAACATTTTAAACGTTTGATTTAATGCTGAGGCTATACTTGTTTTAAACTTAATAGGCTTTCTGAGGTTTATTTGTTGCATTTCAATTCGCGTGACAGTATTGCGTGACATATTTTTGAACGTTAATAACTCAACGAATAAACAGCAAAAAAAGTTTAAACTTTCGGAGAGAACTTCTATCATGCTCTTCAAGGTATTTTAGTGCTGCAATGTTGTGTGTCTGATTTTAAACTTTCGACATGGAAAAAAAATCAAGAAAGTAACAGAATTTTACTACACATCCCCTGCATTGCAGGGTACGTGTAATAATTACAATTGTTGTACATTCACCTCCTCATTAATAGTCATGTTATTCTACATAACACTAAGCTGAAGTGTGAATGTTTCCCATTAACTCTCCTGATTTGTTACTTTGAAAAAAATCAGTCTATAAAGTTAACAGTAGTTTAATTTTCATTTGWAGAGCTAGAATTATGGGATCTACTTGTGAAGGAGGGGAAGTGTTATCAAGGTAAATAATTCCATACTTTCAGCCATACAGTGCAATAATAATGTTAATTCTGGAGGCATCACCTTCTCTGTGATGAAGATGTAATTGTAAGAATTTACCTGTAATCCTACCCTAACTGTAACAACTTTAGCTTGAAACAT